CGGCGCTTGCGAATGCGCTCCTCCAGCGTGTGACGGAGGAATTGGTTGGAACCAGCTTGATCTGGTTGGAGGTTGGTGGAGCCTCACCCGACGCAACTTTGGCGTCAATCAGGATGAGGTCGTCGTTGGTAGCTTCAACTTCTTCGTACCAACGCACCTTTCTGCTGGAAGAGAACTTGGACTTCTTAGACTTGCGAGGGGAGGTAGATCCGGACGAGGATGAAAGGTACTCCTCGAACTTTTGTTGGTCGAACTCATACTCGACCTCCTCCTCGACCGGGATCGAGATCCGCGGCTGCGACGCAACGATCTCGGCAGCGAGATCGTTGGCTCCCACTGTGGTCGCCAGATTGTTCGCGGGGAAATTCGTTGCTTTCTTCATTAATGATTCCATTGTACACTCTTGTAATAGTCTATCGATTACAAAGATCCGGTCTTTTTATAAGATCCGGTTACAACGAAAATCAAATTGAAAAGAAATGAAAATTACAACTTTGTTTCCTTGTTTGTCGAACGAATCACGAGCTCCTGTTTTGCGGTCGCTCGCTTTGTGGGTTCTTTGCCTGCGCCGGGGTTGTTTGCCGTGGACCACCGCGCGATCTAGATCCGGTCGGATCTACGCAGTACAACGGGTATTATTTCACCAAGGAAATAATAGCCGGGGAGGATTGTTTCACCAAGGAAACAATCGTCCAAGTCTCGGGATCTAAGACCAAGCTTAGATCCGGGGTGTAGCAACGTAGATCTGAGATCCGATCCTCTCGAACACCTGCCTTATTTGACGTTGATGATTGCCGAGCACCAGATCTGGATGAGCAAGTCCTTGATGTCCCAAAGTTGAGATCTTTTTTAGATCTGAGTCTCCAATCCTGCAGGGCTTCGCCTCCTCCAAAATCCAACTTTGAAAATGAATACCACTTGGCCTATTTATAGGCACCCAGATCTGTGCCTAGGCACAGATCTGGGCCGGCCACCTCAGGGTGGCTCGGCTCTGGGTTAACTATTGTTGGCTAAAGATGACATCTAATAATTGCAGCAAATAATTTGTAATATGATCACAAAAACTGCAGGATACAATAGAGAAGAGACATCATATTTTACCTCCATAAGTAAGGTGATGCATAACACAGAAGGGTGTTGCTGAAAGGTCCATTAGCGGGATAGTTTCATTTTTCTTATTCTCACCATTCAATAGAGCATGCAAAATCATGCTAAAAGACAAAACATCAAGTAATATCTCAATTTGACTTGCGTACTTTTATTATTTAGGAAATGATATAACCTAAGAAACAAATAAATTTATAAGAAGCCATATTAATCTTAACCACATATTTAACTAATTCGGGCCTCAGGAGCATCATGGGTCCTGGTCTTGGGTACCGAAGATAGATTTTGCAACAAATCAATAGCATCTGTAATTCAAAAACCCTAAAAGAACACTAATCATCTACTCATCAAAACTCTTACTTTTTTCTTATTGCTTTGAGCATAAAATTAATAAAAACTCTACTCAACACGCAAAGTCTCTTTCAAAATTAAACAATAATATATAATAAAAAAAAGAAATGTCAAATATATACACAATCAGAAAAAAAATTCTGTAAAAGCTTTATAGAAATTATAAATCCACATCTTAGATTGAATATCTAAACATAAAGTCTAAGAAAACCCTAAACCAACAAACCCCATCACAAATCTTTCAAGAATAGAATGCCCAAAACAAATCAAGATCTAAGAAGAAGTAAAAAATAAAATGAAAAGGAAAGCATACATTCATTGCAGGAGTGACAGCCAAAAATTCGAACCCTAGGAGAAAAAAAAAGCAGCCACAAAGAAGTGAAGAAAACTCTTTCGATTCCATAAAAGGAGACAGCTCTTTTTAGAGGTGGTGTGGGAGAATTATTTATCTGAAATTGAGGTATTCAATAATTGGTAAAGATAGTTGTGAGTAAATATTAGTGCATAGATTAGGATGAAAATGTAATTAAATTTCTTAATTCCAATATAATCTATATACAATTTATTTCCTTATCTTTATACTATGTATATCTACTAAGAATTTATTAATTTCCTAGGCTAATGATGGATTAGTATTAAAAATTAAAGTTTGATTAATATAGGATAGTTCAAACTTTTAGGGGTATTTTTATCTACCGAAAGATTTTCCTGAACTCGTGCTTTTAAAGGGAGTATGATTACGAACATTCCCCTGTAGTGTAGTATCACCCAATTGCAAAATATAACCTTCTATAGTTCTTTTGCTGCAAATAGACTCCTTATAGTTCTATTTGTTACGAATAGACTCTCCGAGTGATTTTTTAATTCTTAAAATTATTTTTTTAAATGTAGGAGATGAATAGATTCTTTATAGTTCCATTTGAGGATAGACACCCTATGGTGCCTCAACATATGCAGTGGAAATATCTTTGGGTAATTGTTGTCGCCGGACATCAATAAGACTTGTGAGTAATTTATGCTTAATTCCTTGGTCATCATTGGTGCAAACAATTAATAGGTAGCTAATATTATTTATTACTTGTCTGAGTGTTGCCGGACATCAATAAGACTTGTGAGTAATTTATGCTTAATTCCTTGGTCATCATTGGTGCAAACAATTAATATGTAGCTAATATTGTTTATTACTTGTCTGAGTGTTTTTAATTTACAATTCACGTGTGTATATACCGGGCATTCACGGATTTGATTTCTGGCTCGTTGGTTTGCAAAGCAAAAATATAAGTAAAAAAAGAAGAGGAAATGTATCCGTTTTCTATTTCGGTTTAATCAAATACAATATATAATCAAATAAATATAAATTAAAATAATATCAAACATGAAAATTTACCTTGATAGATGAGAGAAGTTGCAACAATCAAATCCTTAATCCTCTAAATTCTGCATAAAAATTAAAGAAATATTAAAAAAAAATTAAATTGCCATAAAAAGTAATTGCAGTGTAAAATAAATATCATCATTAAATCAAATACACATTATTTCTAAAAAATAATCATGAAAAGAAAAAAGAAACATACATGTTGAAGGAGATGAAGTTACTATAAAAATTGTGTGATTTCTTAGTTTATACATAGGCATGAGGTATTGCATGTGATAGGATAATAGTCATAATTAGAGTTTTATTAGGATTTGAATTGGAGTGTTTGGATAGTTTTCTTATTGCTTTGAGCACAAAATTAATAAAAATTCTACTCAACGCGCAAAGTCTCTTTCAAATTTAAACAATGACATATAATCAAAAAAATAAAAAAAATAAAAGAAATGTCAAATCAATACACAATCAGTAAAAAAATTCTGTAAAAGGTTTATAGAAATCATAAATCCACATCTTAGATTGAATATCTAAATATAAACTCTAAGAAAACCCCAAACCAACAAACCCCATCATAAATCTTTCAAGAATAGAACGCCCAAAACAAATCAAGATCTAAGAAGAAGTAAAAAATAAAATGAAAAGGAAAGCATACATTCATTGCAGGAGTGATAGCCAAAAATTCAAACCCTAGGAGAAAAAAAAAGCAGCCACAAAGAAGTGGAGAAAACTCTTTCGATTCCATAAAAGGAGGCAGCTCTTTTTAGAGGTGGTGGAGGAGAATTATTTATCTGAAATTGAGGTATTCAATAATTGGTAAAGATAGTTGTGGGTAAATATTAGTGTATAGATTAGGATGAGAATGTAATTAAATTTCTTAATTCCAATATAATCTATATACAATTTGTTTCCTTATCTTTACACTATGTATATCTACTAAGAATTTATTAATTTCCTAGGCTAATGATGGATTAGTATTAAAAATTAAAATTTGATTAGTAAAGGATAGTTCAAACTTTTAGAGGTATTTTTGTCTACCGAAAGATTTTCCCGAACTCGTGCTTTTAAAGGGAGTATGATATGATTACGAACATTCCCCTGTAGTGTAGTATCACCCAATTGAAAAATAAAACCTTCTATAGTTCTTTTGCTACAAATAGACTCCTTATAGTTCTATTTGTTACAAATAGACTCTCCGAGTTATTTTTTAATTCTTAAAATTATTTTTTAAATGTAGGAGATGAATAGATTCTTTATAGTTCCATTTGAGGATAGACACCCCATGGTGCCTCAACATATGCAGTGGAAATATCTCTGAGTAATTGTTGTCGCCGGACATCAATAAGACTTGTGAGTAATTTATGCTTAATTCATTGGTCATCATTGGTGCAAACAATTAATACGTAGCTAATATTATTTATTATTTGTCAGAGTGCTTTTAATTTACAATTCACGTGTGTATATACCGGGCATTCACGGATTTGATTTCTGGCTCGTTGGTTTGCAAAGCAAAAATATAAGTAAAAAAAAGAAGAGGAAATGTATCCGTTTTCTATTTCGATTTAATCAAATACAATATATAATCAAATAAATATAAATTAAAATAATATCAAACATGAAAATTTACCTTGATAGATGGGAGAACCTGTAACAATCAAATCCTTAATCCTCTAAATTCTGCATAAAAATTAAAGAAATATTAAAAAAATTTAAATTGCCATAAAAAGTAATTGCAATGTAAAATAAATATCACCATTAAATCAAATACAATAAATTATACTTTTCCCGACGCTTATTCCCGACGCATGGTTAAATACGTCGCCAAAAATTATGTTTTTCCCGACGATTTTAGTCAGCGTCGGCAAAACATATATTTTTCCCCACGTTTATAATTAGCGTCGCTAAAAGTGTATATTATTTGCGATGTTTTAACTTAGCGTCGGTAAAAGTGTATGGATTTCCCGACGTTTTTTCATTTTCGTCGGCAAAAGTATAGCTTTTAGCGACGTAAAAATATTCGTCGTAAAAAAATATACATTTGACGACGCACGTTAGCGTCGGCAAAAATGTAGCTTTTAGCGACGAATAATTTTGTGTCACTAAAAATAAACATTTTTGCCGACGTTATATTACGTCGGAAAAAATATAGCTTTTAGCGACGCAAAACTATTGCGTCCCTAAAAGCTATCCTTTTACCGACGCTTTACTATTCATGTGCGTACCCAAATTCTCCATTTCCGGTTCTGGTTCTAAATGGATCTTGAAGGCAAATAAGAGGGCTCGGTTTGGGTCCATCACCCTAACGAAGGGGATTCGAAGTTCTGGGGATTAATGTATCCAATTCAGCATCCACCTTCATCGCGATTCGCCTCCACCGCTGAAGGTGGTGTTTACGAAGCCTTGCCCTCAATTTCGAGGTCTGCAACTTCTTTTTCTCGTCCCTCAATGGATCAATTCTTTGAAAGCGTTGAATTCTCGTAGTTTGAGGTTACTGACTTACTAGGTTCTTGATTGTTGATGAAATTAAAGGCTTAGTGTAAATTTTGGAGTAGTTAACCTAATTGTTGGTTGTTTGTAGGGAAATTTGGATTGTTGTTTGAATGTAGCTTGTTAGAATTACCCTGTTGACAAGAGATGTTCAGGATGGGAGATTGAAAAGTTTTATTTTGAAGAATTTGTTGTTTTAGTATGTGGTCAGGTTGCTATTGTGAAAAAAATAAATAAATGGAACTATATTTTTTATGTAAAGTCTCAGCATTTAGGAAGCTAAGGAAAATTTTCATGGAATTATTATTGATTCCCATGATTTATATTGGTAGACGTTGATGATTTTTTTTCCCCTATGTTTAAAGGGGCGATTTACCCTTCCAGTTAAATTCTAATAGAGTACTAAATGAAGCCTTCTTCTTGACACTTAGCTTCTCTATTCATATGCAGGATTCAAAATGTATCTATTAATATTTTTAGTCATCCTATGGTAGAATTAATATTTTTATAATGTCTTATTTGTTAAATGATTAATAACCGAAACACATGTTTTGTCATTGATAGAAGTAATATTTTTATAATGTCTTATTTGTTAAATGATTAATAACCGAAACACATGTTTTGTCATTGATAGAAGAGGAAGCTGATGATGTAATGATGTTGGTTCCACCTCTATTCTCGTTGAAGAATACTCCGGAGGAGATAGTGTGAGTTGCTATCCAATTTTTGTCTGGCATAAATTTTGAACAAGTGATACTAACAGATGTCTCTGGTTTTCTGATTTTATTGCACTTAAACATTTAAGAGATACTAGTACAATGAACTATTATGATTGCTATGTATTGGCACCCTTTTGCACTTCCAAAGTTAGGTGCTATCTAGAATATGACTACTTTGCTGATAGCTGGTGTCTTGAAAGTTTATTATTCTTCCTTTTCTCTGTTTTTAGGCTGAATCCACCGTCTAATTTATTCTCCAAAAAGTTGCAGAAGAGTGTTGTGGAACACCGCTGGGAGGTAGTATCCTTACTGTGAAACTATTTTCTTTGTTATTTTATTGTGAGAATGGAAACTATCATTTTAATGTCCTGTGTGTTAGAGGAAAATAGCTTTTGGAATTATTATGCATTACCTGTTACTATTAGTGCTATTGCTAGTTTCTTCTTCTTCTTGTTTTTCCTCTTCTTTTTCAGCTGAACATAGATAACCCAACTAGAACAGATACTAATGCGTTGTTGGTGTAGGCTCCCTTTGATGCATAACTAGAACAGATACTGAATTATGCCACTCGAGTCGCAGATAGTTTTTTGTCCACCGGGAATTATGCCCTTAATGTTTCAATCCAACGTTACAAACCCTATGGAGTTCAATGCCAACAGTTTGGCCAGTTGCAAATGGTGAATTCTGTCTCACAAACCCCACAATCTAATTTGGAGGTAAATTCTCTTCACCTAAGCAGTCCTCAGGAAAGACCTTCCAGTGAGTTCTAAGAGGTAGAGTTTCATTCTGGGCATGAGCGTTTCTAAGCTAATCAACATCATATTTCTTCTTTTTATGTCAAGCTTGGCCAACTTCATATGTTTGCAGGTAAGTGTGCATTCACTTTTATATTAGTTATTATGTATTCGACCTACTTAATTTGTTGTTTTTCTTTGGTATATGAGAGTGACCACAGAATTGCTTTGTATAGAAAATAAAGTTTCTGTACTATAGGTTGCAGTGACATTATTTCTTTTACTTCAAGGTGAGCATGGTTGATTATCTACACTTCCCTGGCTATATAAGCTGAATAAATATTCTTGATTTTCTACAAATTGTGATTTCCCTGGCTATTCAAGGTGAGCATTGCTTTGTGATTTTGGTTGCTCCAGCAAAAAGTAGGTTCAAGTATGCCATGTACACCACAAGCTGATTTTCCTTTTGTTTAAATTTATCTAACTGCCCCCAACGGTTGTAACCGTTGGGGCATATATTAAGCTTTCCATGTTTGATATATCTTGGTTAGTTGGTTATGTGTACTTGTGTATCAGATTAAGCTTTCCATGTTTGATATCGTCACATGGAAAACAAATACATTAGCTCAACCTGACTTACCTTCTTCTATCTGCAGCCGAAATTGCAATGTTCGATGGATACATTGTCGTCTACAAATTTGTCCAGGACCTGCACTTTTTTATCACTGCAGGTGATGATGAAAATGTACTCATCTTAGCAACAGTTCTTCAGGGCTTCTATGATGCTGTCATCAATCTTCTCAGGTCTGTCATTATTGTTTCATCTACATTGCTTTTTAATGTTGCTATTGTTTCCCCTGTATCTAATGCTTTGTTCAATTCCCTGATGATGCATGTGTCTTTCCATAGGACTGATGTCTTTCAACTTTGGTGACCTTACACAAGGTTCCTTCAATTGGAGAACTTAATGTATATATGAAGATAAATATGAAACTTTTTATTTAACCACACTTATATATTATTCTAGCATAGTGGTAAACCCTCTTCCTAGTTGAAAAGTGTGAGATTCGACACCACTTGAACCAGGCTACCTGCTATTCTCAATCTGAAAGAACAGTAGTAGATACAGTTGTTGAGTTTTCTCATTGTAGTTTATGTTAGAGCATTACTGAGTATATATTAGAGCATTACTGAGTACATTTTTTTGTGTTTGATTTTAACTTTTTATTTGCGTTACTGAGTACATTTCTTTCCATTGCAGCTACACAACAGAAGTTGGAGATGGATGGTGAAGGTGGGAAGAAGAAGCCAGAGACGTGACGAAGGAAAGGCTTGCAACGTTGATAAGACATGAGTTCTCTGTAGTCTTTATTGTTCAAGTCTACTTAATCATGATTGTTGGATTTGTTAATAAAACATGTGTCAAACACTTGTTATTTGTTTAATAGAATTGCGTTTAAATTTATTTACTAATGTTATTATTTGTTTTATTTTAATGATTGTGAAAATAAGCACCGATATTATTTTAGCTGTTAATATGCAACTTGTTTGGAGTATAATTTGATGTTTGGTTTCTTTGTTGATGTGAATGGGAACAAATTTGTTGTGGATGTTCAAGTTCAGTGTAGTTGACAGAAAAGATATTACTTTTGGCGATGCAAATTAGTGTCAATAAAAATATACTTTTTACCGACTAAAAATTATATTTTTGCTGATGCTATATTGCATCGCTAAAAATAATATCTTTTAGCAACGCTATTTTGCATCGCCAAAGGTATAGTTTTTAGTGACGCTTTATTCTGCGTCCCTAAAAGCTAAACTTTGGCCGACGCTAACTTGCGTTGCCAAAAGTATAATTTTTAGCGACGAACAATTTTACGTCGCTAAAAGCTATATTTTTGCCAACGCATAGCTTTTGCCGACACTGCATGCGTCGCCAAAAGTATACGTTTTGCCGATGCAAAATATTATGCGTCGCTAAAGATATACTTTTTTCGACGCATGATGCGTCGCCAAAAGTATACTGTTGGCGACGCAGTGTATTTACGTCGCCAAATACTTTCCTTGACGAACTTTTGGTAACACGTTAGCGACGCTGCATTTTGCGTCAGGAAAGATTTTTCCCGACGTTTTTTAAACTTTTACCGACGTTTTTGTTTCGTCGGCAATGTTGTATTTTTTTGTAGTTAATCTTTCAAGAATAGAATGCCCAAAACAAATCAAGATCTAAGAAGAAGTAAAAAATAAAATGAAAAGGAAAGCATACATTCATTGCAGGAGTGACAGCCACAAAGGAGACAGCTCTTTTTAGAGGTGGTGGGGGAGAATTATTTATCTGAAATTGAGGTATTCAATAATTGGTAAAGATAGTTGTGAGTAAATATTAGTGCATAGATTAGGATGAAAATGTAATTAAATTTCTTAATTCCAATATAATCTATATACAATTTATTTTCTTATCTTTATACTATGTATATCTACTAAGAATTTATTAATTTCCTAGGCTAATGATGGATTAGTATTAAAAATTAAAGTTTGATTAGTATAGGATAGTTCAAACTTTTAGGGGTATTTTTGTCTACCGAAATATTTTCCTGAACTCGTGCTTTTAAAGGGAGTATGATTACGAACATTCCCTTGTAGTGTAGTATCACCCAATTACAAAATATAACCTTCTATAGTTCTTTTGCTGCAAATAGACTCATTATAGTTCTATTTGTTACGAATAGACTCTCCGAGTGATTTTTTAATTCTTAAAATTATTTTTTTAATGTAGGAGATGAATAGATTCTTTATAGTTCCATTTGAGGATAGACACCCTATGGTGCCTCAACATATGCAGTGGAAATATCTCTGGGTAATTGTTGTCGCCGGACATCAATAAGACTTGTGAGTAATTTATGCTTAATTCCTTGGTCATCATTTGGGTAATTGTTGTCGCCGGACATCAATAAGACTTGTGAGTAATTTATGCTTAATTCCTTGGTCATCATTGGTGCAAACAATTAACGGACATCAATAAGACTTGTGAGTAATTTATGCTTAATTCCTTGGTCATCATTGGTGCAAACAATTAATCGGTAGGTAATATTATTTATTACTTGTCTGAGTGTCGCCGGACATCAATAAAACTTGTGAGTAATTTATGCTTAATTCCTTGGTCATCATTGGTGCAAACAATTAATAGGTAGCTAATATTGTTTATTACTTGTCTGAGTGTTTTTAATTTACAATTCACGTGTGTATATACCGGGCATTCACGGATTTGATTTCTGAGTCGTTGGTTTGCAAAGCAAAAATATAAGTAAAAAAAAGAGGAAATGTATCCGTTTTCTATTTTGGTTTAATCAAATACAATATATAATCAAATAAATATAAATTAAAATAATATCAAACATGAAAATTTACCTTGATAGATGAGAGAAGCTACAACAATCAAATCCTTAATCCTCTAAATTCTGCATAAAATTAAAGAAATATTAAAAAAAATTAAATTGCCTTAAAAAATAAATACAGTGTAAAATAAATATCATCATTAAATCAAATACACGTTATTTCTAAAAAATAATCATGAAAATAAAAAAGAAACATACATGTTGAAGGAGATGAAGTTACTATAAAAATTGTGTGATTTCTTAGTTTATACATAGGCATGAGGTATTGCATGTGATAGGATAATAGTCATAATTAGAGTTTTATTAGGATTTGAATTGGAGTGTTTGGATAGTTTTCTTATTGCTTTGAGCACAAAATTAATAAAAATTCTACTCAACTTTTGAATTGGAGTGTTTGGATAGTTTTCTTATTGCTTTGAGCACAAAATTAATAAAAATTCTACTCAACTCGCAAAGTCTCTTTCAAATTTAAACAATGACATATAATCAAAAAAATAAAAAAAAATAAATGTCAAATCAATACACAATCAGTAAAAAAATTCTGTAAAAGCTTTATAGAAATCATAAATCCACATCTTAGATTGAATATCTAAACATAAACTCTAAGAAAACCCTAAACCAACAAACCCCATCATAAATCTTTCAAGAATAGAACGCCCAAAACAAATCAAGATCTGAGAAGAAGTAAAAAATAAAATGAAAAGGAAAGCATACATTCATTGCAGTAGTGATAGCCAAAAATTCGAACCCTAGGAGAAAAAAAAAGCAGCCACAAAGAAGTGGAGAAAACTCTTTCGATTCCATAAAAGGAGGCAACCCTAGGAGAAAAAAAAAGCAGCCACAAAGAAGTGGAGAAAACTCTTTCGATTCCATAAAAGGAGGCAGCTCTTTTTAGAGGTGGTGGAGGAGAATTATTTATCTGAAATTGAGGTATTCAATAATTGGTAAAGATAGTTGTGGGTAAATATTAGTGTATAGATTAGGATGAGAATGTAATTAAATTTCTTAATTCCAATATAATCTATATACAATTTGTTTCCTTATCTTTACACTATGTATATCTACTAAGAATTTATTAATTTCCTAGGCTAATGATGGATTAGTATTAAAAATTAAAATTTGATTAGTATAGGATAGTTCAAACTTTTAGAGGTATTTTTATCTACCGAAAGATTTTTCCGAACTCGTGCTTTTAAAGGGAGTATGATTACGAACATTCCCCTATAGTGTAGTATCACCCAATTGCAAAATAAAACCTTCTATAGTTCTTTTGCTACAAATATACTCCTTATAGTTCTATTTGTTACAAAGAGAATCTCTGAGTGATTTTTTAATTCTTAAAATTATTTTTTAAATGTAGGAGATGAATAGATTCTTTATAGTTCCATTTGAGGATAGACACCCCATGGTGCCTCAACATATGCAGTGGAAATATCTCTGAGTAATTGTTGTCGTCGGACATCAATAAGACTTGTGAGTAATTTATGCTTAATTCCTTAGTCATCATTGGTGTAAACAATTAATACGTAGCTAATATTATTTATTATTTGTCTGAGTGTTTTTAATTTACAATTCACGTGTGTATATACCGGGCATTCACGGATTTGATTTCTGGCTCGTTGGTTTGCAAAGCAAAAATATCACTCCCTTTAAAAGCACGAGTTCGGAAAATCTTTTTTAGACAAATATATCCCTTTATAGTTTGAACTACCTTATCTATAATCAAATTCTAATTTTCAATGGTCAATATTACCCTTCACTATTTTGAATATTTTATTTATATCTTAATCTATCCTAATCATAATCATATCTTATCCTAATCCTATGTGAACCATGTTTAGCTTAACAATTTAAAAAAACTAAAATATTAATAAAATATATAAAACATAAAAATGATATTAGTTTGTTAAGATAAAGAAATTACAAGTAGATAACATATTATAATACATGAAGTATTGTAAAAAAACCATAAAAAGATTTAAAATTGCAGAAAAGACCCTAAAAAGTTTAAAATTATAAAGCTCATCCAAATGTCTCAAAATCTTAAAATAAAAAACATAAAATCCCCTCCATCGAGCCATGTGAAAAGTTCTATTCATTCAAAATCATTAAAATTGATACGAGTGGATGAAGGGTCAAACGACGACGGGTTCACCCCAAACTTGGTGTGTTGCCAAATGTCTCAAAATCTTAAAATAAAAAACATAAAATCCCCTCCATCGAGCCATGTGAAAAGTTCTATTCATTCAAAATCATTAAAATTGATACGAGTGGATGAAGGGTCAAACGACGACGGGTTCACCCCAAACTTGGTGTGTTGGGGTTTTAGAATATGTAGATCAAGTTCAACGGAGCGGATCATCCACAATGTCGCTCAATCATGTGATTTTAGAGACGTCAAGGAGGAAATCCCCTCCTATGACAAGGATACCCATTAATCTCTCTCTCTCTCTCTCTCTCTCTATATATATATATATATATAAGTAAAAGAATTTTTAAAATGTTAAAAGGGTTCTATCAGTAAATTACATCTTAAATATCTAAAACCATACCCCAACATACCTCTTTGTCGTCTGTTCTTTTTGTTTTTTGTTTTCCCGTCACTGTCTCGCCGCACCAAAAAAAAGAAAAGAAAAGAGAAGGAGAAGACCGAAGCATCGACTTCGAGAGGGCATTAGGTGCGTACCTGGGAGGAAAGGTAGATAAACAAATCTAGGTTTTACCTTTATCTAATCTCCATCTTAGCATCACTATTTAATATTACCAACATACCTACACGATGCATAAGGGGAGCAATCATAATTGCTCTTTTTGTCTCTGTGTGGATCAGTCATGATCCGACCTAGTTGTAAAAAAATTCGTGCTAAAGCTATAGCAATTGAGGTACTAATTTGTTGTTATACTATAGTGGCATTAAATGATTTGATATGTGTTATGTATTATAATTAGTGGGATGACGTTATTGATGATTATTTTGTACGTCGTATTTAGGGATTCCACAAAACTCTGAGGAAGTATTTGTTGGGACAAACCCGGGGCCCAATAGAGCAGGGTTGCAGCAATAGTAGAGCAAAAGTAGAGATAAAATGATAGACACACAG